GTGCTGTCCTTCCCTACACCTAAGATAATTCTTATCTACTATCTAGTTAGTAAATAACCCTCACCCTCCCTCCCCACCCTCGTAACCATCAAAGAATGTTTTCTTCTGTGTTTAAACCTTTTCTTGAATTCTTGTAATAGTGGTCTTATACAATATTTGTCCTTCTGTGACTGACTAAATTCACTAAGCATAGTGACTTCCAGCTTCCTCCATGTTATTAGATGTTTCATGGCTTCATCGTTGTTCTTTATCGTTGCGTAGTATTCCATTGTGTGGCTATGCCATAATTTATCCATTCGTCCGTTGATGGGTACCTAGGTTGTTTCCATCGTTTTGCTATTGTGAACAGTGCTGCAATGAACATGGGTGTGCATGTATCTATTCGTGTGACGGCTCTTATTTCTCTAGGATATATTCCAAGGAGCGGGATAGCTGGATCATATGGCACTTCTATTTCTAGCTTTTTAAGGAAGTGCCAAATCGATTTCCAAAGTGGTTGTACCATTTTACATTCTCACCAACAGTGTATAAGTGTCTGGCTGTACTTCTTGAAGACGGATTTGTTCGTTCTTCTGGCAGTCCATGGTACAGCCAATATTCTTCGACACCATAATTCAAAGGTGTCAATTCTTCTTGGGTCTTCTTTACTCATTGTCCAGCTTTTGCATGCATATGAGGTGATTAAAAACACCATGGATTAGGTCAGGCACACCTTAGTCCTTAAAGTGACATCTTCGCTTTTTTAACACTTTAGAAAGGTCTTTTGCGGCAGATTTACCCAAAGCAATGTGTCGTTTGATTTCTTGACTGCTGCTTCCACGGGCATCGATTGTTGATCCAAGTAAAATGAAATCATTGACAAATTCAATCTTTTCTACGTTTATCATGATGTTGCTTATTGGTCCAGTTGTGAGGATTTTTGTGTTCTTTACATTAAGGTGTAATCCATACTGAAGGCTGTAGTCTTTGATCTTCATCAGTAAGGGCTTCCTCTTCACTTTGCTCTAGCAGGTTGTATCATCTGCATATCGTAGGTTGTTAATGAGTCTTCCTCCAGTCCTGATGCCGCGTTCTTCTTCATATAGCCCAGCTTCTTGGATTATTTGCTCAGCATACAAATTGAGTAAGTATGGTGAAAGGATACAACCCTTACACACAACTTTCCTGACTTTAAACCACGGACTGTCCCCTTGTTCTGTTTGAACGACTGCCTTTGGTCTATGTACAGGTTCCTCAGGAGCACAATTTAAGTGTTCTGGAATTCTCGTTCCTCACAATGTTATCCATAATTTGTTATGATCCACACAGTCGAATCCCTTTGCATAGTCAGTAAAACACAGATAAACATCTTTCTGGAATTCTCTGCTTTCAGCCATGATCCATCTGACTTCAGCAATGATATCCCTTGTTTCACATCCTTTTCTGAATCCAGCTTGAATTTCTGGCACTTCCCTGTCGACATACTGCTGCAACCGCTTTTGAATGATCTTCAGCAAAATTTTACTTGTGTGTGATATTAATGACGTTGTTCGATAATTTCCATAACCCTACTTATACCTATTTTACATATTGAGAATTCAAGTACAATGGATTCTCTGGTTCTCAAGGTACTCTAAAAATTATTTGATGACATTGTATATACTTTCAGAAATAATTCTACTTTTTTGTTGGAAACCTCCTCCAAACAATACCTGTCATCCGAAAGGCAAGGGAAAACAAGATGTCGTGGGACTAAAGACTAAATTGAATTAATATGAACTCTACAAAGGCAGGGATTTTTGTCTGTTCTCTTCACTGCTGTCCCACCAAGAGGCCAGAAGTGTCTGGAACTCAAGAGTTTCTAACAGAAATGGGGCACAGAGGAGAGGGGAGCTAGACATCATAAACTACCTAGGAATATTTTTTTTAAATAGGAAAAAAATATGAAGACTTTCTTGACCCCAGGACACTTGAGTTCCTCCATCCTCTGGGTGTCCCAAGCACTGGTTCTCCAACTTATTAGCCAAGTGACCTTGGGCAAGTTTTTAACCCAAGGGTCTGAGTTACCTCATTGTAAAATGAATAAAATGGAGACATGTTCAGTAAAGATTAAGTGTAAAGCGCTTAGCTCAGTATGTGATACAAGGTAACCTAAAAAAAAAAAAAAAAAAAAAAAA